CTATCAAAGACATCATAGATCGCACCATATCTAGTAAAGTACGATTACAACGTTCGGACACACCATTACACTGTGGTGTTCCGGGTGGCGTGAGTTGTGAAACTATTCCGCATTGTTTCAAATGAAGACCAAACTCGTAACTCAAATATTCTCCTCCACGATTGGATCGTAGAAACTTTATTTTCTTGTTACGATGATTTTCCACTTGACTCTAAAATTCTTTGAACTTTTCAAATGTTTCAGACTTATGTTTAATTAAGTAGATATACCCATATCTGCTCAAATCATCTGTGAAGGTGAGAAAATAACGATATCCACCGCGAGCCTCAATGTTCATTGGACCACATACATCAGTATGTATAATTTCCAATAACTCTGTTGCTCGCTCCATTGTTCTGGAGAATAGAGTTTTAGTCATCTTGCCCATGAGGCATGGTTCGCAAGTACCAAGTAATTTATAATCAAGGGATTCCAGAAGTCCATCAGAATGGAGTTTCTTCATGCATTTTACACCAATATGACCCAAATGGCAGTGCCCCAAATAAGTTGCACTATCATATCAACTCTGCATCTTTTGGCTTCAATACTATGAACATGTGTATCACTACTATCAAGATTTAGTGACAATAGACCACTCATCAAGGGTGCATGACCATAAAAGATATTACTCATACAAATAGAACAACCATAATTCTCCGATTTAAATGAATAACCGTCTCGCATCAAACAAGATCCAGATATAATGTTCATGCTTAACGATGGCACCAAATAACAATTATTTAGGTCTAAAACTAATCAGGAATGTAGATGTAGAGGTAGCGTGCCGACGGCGATCACATCGACTTTGGAACCATTTCCCACGCGCATTGTCACATCGTCCTTAGCCAATGTTTGCTTAATCCGTAGCCCCTGTTTTGAGTTGCAAATGTTAGCAACTGAACCAGTATCAAATACCCATGCACTACTGCGAGCATTAGTAAGGTACACATCAATAACATGTATATCAAATATACCTTTCACTTTGCCATCCTTCTTCTCCGCCAAATACTTGGGGCAGTTCCGCTTCCAGTGACCAGTCCCTTTGCAGTAGAAGCACTCAGTCTCAGGCTTAGGTCCAGACTTGGGTTTCTTCACTTGAGCAACAACTGGCTTGCTGTTCTTCTTGAAGTTCCCCTTCTTCCCTTTACCCTTTTTCTTGAAACTGGTGGTCTTGTTGACCATCAACACTTGATGCTCCTTCTTGATTTATACCTCCGCAACCTTTAGCATTGCGAAGAGCTCAGGAATCGTCTTATCCATCCCTTGCATATTATAGTTCATCACGAAGCTCTTGTAGCTTGGTGGCAGTGATTGAAGAACTCTGTCAATGACACTATCATCTGGAAGATTAACTCCCAGGTGAGTCAAGTGGTTGTGGTACCCAAACATTCTGAGTATATGTTCATTGACAGAACTATTCTCCTCCATTTTGCAGCTATAGAACTTATTGAGACTTCATATCTCTCAATCTGGGCATTTTCTTGAAATATTAAATTCAACTCCTGGAGCATCTCATATGCTCATGACGTTCAAAACATCGTTGAAGTCCCGGTTCTAAGCCATAAAGCATGTCACACTGAACTATCGAGTAGTCATCAGCTTTGCTCTGCCAGGTGTTCACAACATCTAGCGTTGCTCCTGCAGCGGGTTTGTCACCTAGCGGTGCTTCCAGGACGTAATTCTTCTGTGTAGCAATGAATATAATCCTCAAGTTATAGACCTAGTCCGTGTAGTTGCTACCATCATCTTTAAACTTAGCTTTCTTTAGGAACGCATTAAAATTCAATGGAACAACAACACATGCCATCTATCTACAACAACATAGACATGCAAAATACTATCAGGTACTAAGTTCATGATAAATTAAAGTTCAATTAATCAAATTACTTAAGAACTCCCACTTAGATAGACATCTCTCTAATCATCTAAGTGATCGCGTGATCCATATCAACTAAACCATGTCCGATCATCACCTGAGATGGAGTAGTTTTCAATGGTGAACAATACTATGTTGATCATATCTACTATATGATTCATGCTCGACCTTTCGGTCTCAGTGTTCTGAGGCCATATCTGCATATGCTAGGCTCGTCAAGTTTAACCCGAGTATTCTGCATGTGCAAAACTGGCTTGCACCCGTTGTATGTGAACATAGAGATTATCACACACGATCATCACGTGGTGTCTCGGCACGACGAACTGTAGCTACAGTGCATACTCAGGGAGAACACGTATACCTTCAAATTTAGTGAGAGATCATCTTATAATGCTACCACCAAACTAAGCAAAATAAGATGCATAAAGGATAAAAATCACATGCAATCAATATAAGTGATATGATATGGCCATCATTATCTTGTGCCATTGATCTCCATCTCCAAAGCACCGTCATGATCACCATCGTCACCGGCTTGACACCTTGATATTCATCGAAGCATCATTATCGTCTCACCAACTATTGCTTCTACGACTATCGCTACCGCTTAGTGATAAAGTAAAGCAATTACATGGCGATTGCATTTCATACAATAAAGCGACAACCATATGGCTCCTGCCAGTTGCCGATAACTGTGTTACAAAACATGATCATCTCATACAATAAAATTTAGCATCATGTCTTAACCATATCACATCACAACATGCCCTGCAAAAACAAGTTAGACGTCCTCTACTTTGTTGTTGCAAGTTTTACGTGGCTACTACGGGCTGAGCAAGAACCGTTCTTACCTACGCATCAAAAACCACAACGTGGTATAGTGATTGCTTTTTGATCTTCAGAAAGAACCATGTTCATTGAATCCGATTCAACTAAAGTTGGAGAAACTGACACCCATCAGCCACCTGTGTGCGAAGCACGTCGGTAGAACGAGTCTCGCGTAAGCGTATGCGTAATGTCGGTCTGGGCCGCTTCATCCAACAATACCGCTGAATCAAGAATCAACTAGTGACGGCAAGCAATATGTATATACCCACGCCCACAACTCCTTTGTGTTCTACTCATGCATATAACATCTACGCATAGACATGGCTCGGATGCCACTGTTGAGGAACACGGTAATTTCAAAAAAAAAATCCTACGCACACGCAAGATCATCATGGTGATGCATAGCAACAAGAGGGGAAGAATGTTGTCCATGTACCCTCGTAGACCATAAGCGGAAGCATTATGACAATGCGGTTGATGTAGTCATACGTCTTCACGATCCAACCGATCCTAGTATCGAAAGTACAGCACCTCCGCGATCTGCACATGTTCGATTTGGTGACGTCCCACGAACTCTTGATCAAGCTGGGTGTCCAGGGAGAGCTTCATCAGCACAACGGCGTGATGATCGTGATGATGAAGTTACCAGCGCAGGGCTTCGCCTAAGCACTACGACGATATGACCGAGGTGGATTATGGTGGAGGGGGGCACCGCACACGGCTAAGGGATCAATGATCAACCTGTGTGTCTATGGGGTGCCCCTTCCCCCGTATATAAAGGAGCAAGGGGGGAGGCCGGCCGGCCCTTGGAGGCGCGCCAAGGAGGGGAGGAGTCCTCCTCCTAGTAGGAGTAGGACTCTCCTTTCCTAGTCCTACTAGGAGGAGGAAGGGGGAAGGAAATTCGGAGTAGAGGGGGAGGGGCGCACGGCCCTGCCTTGGCCGGCCCTCTCTCTCTCTCCACTAAGGCCCATGTTGGCCCATTAGTCCCCCGGGGGTTTCGATAACCCCCCGGCACTCCGATAATTATCCGGTGACCCTCGGAACTTATCCGTTGTCCGAATATAGTCATCCAATATATCAATCTTTATGTCTCGACCATTTCGAGACTCCTCGTCATGTCCGTGATCACATCCGGAACTCTGAACTATCTTCGGTACATCAAAACACATAAACTCATAATACCGATCGTCACCGAACGTTAAGCGTGCGGACCCTACAAGTTCGAGAACTATGTAGACATGACCGAGACACGTCTCCGGTCAATAACCAATAGCGGAACCTGGATGTTCATATTGGATCCCACATATTCTACGAAGATCTTTATCGGTCAAACCGCATAACGATATACGTTGTTCCCTTTGTCATTGGTATGTTACTTGTCCGAGATTCGATCGTCGGTATGTCAATACCTAGTTCAATCTCGTTACTGGCAAGTCTCTTTACTTGTTCCATAATGCATCATCCCGTAACTAACTCATTAGTTACATTGCTTGCAAGGCTTATAGTGATGTGCATTACCGAGAAGGCCCAGAGATACCTCTCCGATACTCGGAGTGACAAATCCTAATCTTGATCTATGCCAACTCAACAAACACCATCGGAGACACCTGTAGAGCATCTTTATAGTCACTTAGTTACATTGTCATGTTTGATAGCACACTAAGTGTTCCTCCGGTATTCGAGAGTTGCATGATCTCATAGTCATAGGAACATGTATAAGTTATGAAGAAAGCAATAGCAACAAACCAAACGATCATCGTGCTAAGCTAACGGATGGGTCAAGTCAATCACATCGTTCTCTAATGATGTGATCCCGTTAATCAAATGACAACTCATGTCTATGGTTAGGAAACATAACCATCATTGATTCAACGATCTAGTCTAATAGAGGCATACTAGTGACACTCTGTTTGTCTATGTATTCACACATATATTAAGTTTCCGGTTAATACAATTCTAGGATGAATAATAAACATTTATCATGATATAAAGAAATATAAATAACAACTTTATTATTGCCTCTAGGGCATATTTCCTTCAATATCATCGCATATAAATACATGACGAGGCGTGTGCCGAACTGCCAGTTTTCCTTGTTTTAAAGTGCTTAGCAGTAACTGAGTGAAACCCGAAATCCGACCACTATACACACACTTTTATTCATACCATGAAATCTATCAAAACAGAACGTCAAACATAAAAAATGATCACATTCACTATATCATACATGATGGTGAGACAACAAAAAATAGAATGATCAAATAGCTCTAACATTTATCTGTGCGCCATGCATCGGTTGCAATGTTATCACAGTATATGGCGCATGACTATACGACGGCGCCAGTTCGAACTCAAAGCTTTGAATGATCATGCACATTGCCATCTTGGCTTCAAGAAGTGCGAAGTTTTGGCCGATGCAGATCCGTGGCCCCCAACCGAAAGGGAGAAAGGCACCTGAATCATTGGATGCCTTAGAGACCCCATCGGCGAACCTGTCTGGCTTGAACTCATGGACATCGCTGCCCCAAATGTGCTGGTCATGATGGATGAACATCACGGGGAGCTCAACCATGACGCCAGCAGGGTATGTTATGCCACCAATCTCCATCTCCTTGTAAGTATTCCGACTGAACAAGGTTGCCGGCGGGTATAGCCTGAGAACTTCATAAAGGATCATGGTCACCTACAATTGCCGAGACAACACAAGAAGTTAAACGTCCGTCTAATCAACAAGCTGATGTGGTTGATGCTTTCGAATCTTGAATGAAACAAAATCAGTTGCAACGATTTGAATATATTTAAGCCTCACCGTTTTGAGTCTGCTTAGTCCTTCATATTCCGGTTTGTTTCTTCCAAATAGACCCATGATCTCCTCCCTTGCACGGTCTTGCCACTCTGGGTGCATGCTGAGTAGGATCATTGTCCACGTGAGCAGCACGGACGTTGTCTCCATTCCTGCAAAATAGAACAGCTTGCATTCCTCGATGACGTCTTCAATTGTCATCCCCAAGCTGGATCGGCCATGCTCGTCAGTCTGTCTCATGTTTGACTCTAGCAATAAGCCAAGCAAGTCGTCCGTGGTGCTCTCGCCTTGTTTCATTGCTTGGATTCTTTTACCAACAAGATTTTTCAGAATCGATTCGATCTCCTTGTTGATTTGATGCATCCTTCTGTTGTTTCTGGTTGGCAAGAACCTGAAGATGACAATCCCGTTACATGTTCAGTATAGACGAAGATGGAACTTACTGAAAAAAGAAATCAGTAAGTGCTAGTAAAGCTTAAATAGTACTGGTGGTACTAACAAGTAGCCGGGAATGAGAAGCCCCCGAATGTTCGTTATGAGGCGCTCAGCTTGCTCCTCCTGTAGCTGAAAGATCTTCCTCCCCTCGAGGTAGCTGCTGCTGAATGCGGTGCGAGAAATAACATCCCCCGTCAGGTTCTTGAGCTCCGGCCAAACGTCCAGCTCGCATGAACCCTTCGAGCCTAGGGACGTCCTCCATCTGCTAACAATGTCTTCGCAGCATGAAGAAAACGCCGGCAACATACGCTGCAGAGTCACATGCGCATTCCAAAGATCAAAGATCAATTGTATGTACACTGTATATCACCTTTCAAATCCTTTCAAACCAAAAACTAGTATGATGTTTAAATGTTTCATACTTCCTTTGTTCAAAAAAAGTTGTACTAAGTTTGAGACATTTATTTTTGGACGGAGAGAGTACATGATAATAATATACGAAACATATTAGCGTACCCTGACGTACCTTGACCTTCTCGAGCTGGAACGCCGGGTTGAGGATGCGCCGATGCTTGGCCCACTTCTCGCCGTCGATGCTGGCGAGGCCTTCGGCCAGCAGCTTCGACAGCGCCGGAAGCTTGGTCTTCTCGAAGTGGCCGAACTTGTTGGACATGACGTCCTTGGCGAGGTCGGGGTCGCTGATGGTGACCTTGGGGATCGGGCCGACCCAAGAGAAGCACGTCCTCCCGTGTTCCTGAACGGCGTTGTAGAGGAAAGGCGCGACATGGGCGGAGATGTCGTGGCACCCCAGCGGCAAGGGCCTCGCCCAGGCCTCCTTGCTCAGCCGGCCGTGCTCCTTGAGGTCGCCGACGGGGAAGCGGTAGGGCGTGCCGCGGAGGCCCTGCGCTCTGAGCTCGCGCTCCAGCCGCCGCGGCCGCAGCCACAGCATGTCCAGCAGCTTGCCGGCCTGCCGCAGCAGCGCGAGGCACAGGAGGCCGCACACCAGGAAGCCCCATGGCAACGAGGTCGGCGTCACTCCTCCAAGAACCGCCATGCTTCTCTCAAAGAGCATTCTCAGGAGAAAAGTGTGCTGCTATGCTAGCAGTAGGATCTGATTCAAGTGGACATTTACTGGAGCTGGGTAATGTACGGTGGTGGGCCTCATGTTATATAGAGGTGTCGCCCGGTTGCGGTAGTCCTTGGATCGTGCCCATTTATTTGTTTAAGGTTTCTTCAAGCGTAGTGTGAGAAGAGTGCGGCCATGTTGCCTTGCTCTGAAGGAACTTGGTGGAGAAGAAATTCCGACTGGAATCGGCTTGGTCGAGCTGAGAGATGATGCACCCAGGGACCCCACGTGTGCCCATTGATTGTTGCTAGCAGTATGAAATCACAACTCAGATTTGCTCGGTCTTCCTTGGAAACTGGACACCGTCCCACTGCAGATATAACCTGAGAAGCGACATCTAAAGTCAACGCCATGTTTATATTCAGCTTATCCCTTCTTTTTTATGAAACACCCCAAAATGCATCCGGTCTATTATTATTATTATTATTATTATTATTATTATTATTATTATTATTATTACTCCATCCGTCTAGGTGAGTAAGTCATCTTAGGTTCTGCACCGTGACCAAAGAGAAAGAAAAAACGAGAGACTTTAATGTTTATTTCTTAATTATTGCATGCAATGAAGATCTCTTTTAACGAGTACTACTACTAATCACCGCTAAAGGATAAGGAAGCCCCCGCGTCTCCCGCGTCGCCCTCCCTGGCGGCGACGGGGGAACCCAGATCCGGCGCCTTACACCCTTCCCACCTCCCTCCCCACCTCGCCGCCACCGGAGGAATGGCCGGCGAAGCCGGCGCCGGCTCCCGGGATGGTGGCGGCGGGGCGAGACCGCTCCCTTTCGGTGGTGAGGGTCCGGATCTGAGGCGGCGGCCTCGTTGGTGCGGACGGCGCTCCTTCGGCGGCGGGGAGTGCTCGTCGGTGAGGTAGGCCGGATCCCCTCGGCTGCGCGGGCAGCGAGGTCCCGGTGGACGCAGGTCATGGCGCGGGGAGGCCCCGGGCTCCCCTCGTCAGATCGGAGGCGATCCTGGCCTGCTCGTGATGCATGACCTCCGGCCGGCCTGGATCTCCAGCGTACACGCGCCTGCTGATGTTGTGGCTGGTTCGGTGGTGGAGGCAGGGCGCTTGGCCGGGGGAAACCCTTGGCCGCCGGTGGCGGTCACGGCGTCGATGGCGTCCCGGACGCCATTCCCTCCTTGGTGGCGGCGCCGAGGCTAAACCTCCCCTGCCTCCCCCCTTCCCCTGCACCCGGGTGAAAACCCTAGCCCCGGTGGCTAAGCGGCGGCGGCGCCACAGCGTCGTCACCTTCTTGAAGGCGCCGACTTGGGCATAGGGATGCTGGGTGTGCATGGCGAGCTTGTCTGGTTCCTGGTGGCGGCCCGCCTGACTGCTGCGTCGCAGCTCCGGGCAGTGTCTCGGGGCTGCGGTGCTTCTCTTCCGGCCGTGTCTCCGATGGGGACCTCGCCCTTCCTCACCTTGTACATGCCGTGGTGGAGCGGTACTTCATCTCACTCATTGATGGCGGCGAAGATCGCCGGCATGGCGCTGTGGAGGCTTGACGCCCGATGCGCGGAGATGGACTCGCGCAGGAGGAGGTTGCTGTCTGGCGTCATGGTGACGTCGATGGCAGAGTGGCCAGTCAAGGTAGAAGCCTCAATATGATCTGAAGACGGACCTGTGAAAGATGGCGGTAACGACACACGAGTGCGTCTGACCGGATTGTGCCCCAGACCCGGTATGTGGCTCGGCTGGGGCTTCCGAATATGTTTCGGTTTCCGGCTTTTGATGTTAGGCTTAGGTGAGTGGTTTGGGTAATGGCCCAGCTAGCACCCCTTCATCATTTTGGATAGAAGTAGCGGCATGTGTTGCCAAGATGGTGGATTCATATTCATTGTTGTAATACTTTGTAAGGTCCTGAGAATAATCAATAAAGTGGCCGTATGCATCTCCTAGATGCAGAGGCCGAGGGTCATCCTCCTTTTCTAAAAAAAATTGCATGCAATGAACTAATCATTGCATGTCGTGTTTGGTAATCTCAAGACATTAAAAACATATACAGCCCTCGTCTCTTATTGGTTGATATGTCAAGAAACAAGAAACGAGCTAGACGTTAATGCACCGCGCCTAAGTGTTTTGAGATTATTTGGTTTTTGTAAAATGACTTACACACCAGACGGAGAGAGTATTATTATTATTCATCGTCGTCGTCGTTGTTAAAGCAAGAGGCAAAATGCGCAAGCTATATTATTTGAACAAACAATTTTAGTGGGTCCTAATTAATTATTACAATAAAGATAACAAGATAAATGTGCATTGACCACATGGCAAATCCAGTGAGCACCATAAAAAGCAAATAATGTTTACATAGTATGTCCTTAGAGATCAGCATTTTTTTGAAACACAAGGATGACCCCTACCTTTGTATGATCAATGCATACAACTATTTTATTAATTATTCATCGAGACCTTACAAAATAATACATTAATAACTCTAAAGTTACCTTCCTGTATTGCTATTCTTGTCAACTTGATGAAGGAGGTGCACATGATTAGGACCGTTTACCCAGACCTCACACCAAACCTAGCATCTAAAATCAAAGGTCTTAACCAAACCGCCCAACAGAAGTGGGGGCTCGAACAATAAAGATGGGTGTATTTATAATTAAAATAATCTTGTGATTGTACTGTGTTGAGCAATGTTTACCCAAATGAATATTGAAAAGGGCAGACATGAGTTCGGCAACAACGCATGTGCTGATGTCATACATAGTTTTGACCCATGCTTCACGTTTTAAGTTTCCTTCAGACTGCAAATCAGTGAAACGTTTGGTTCACTAACTCTATGGGCAGAACGTGATCATTAGCGCAAAATCTTTTAATGATAAACTTCTATTTCTTGGGAATGTTTATCCTTGACTTTATTTCTCATTCCATTATAAATGATTTGGCTATTATTTGAGAAATAAAGTCTTACTGGTTCCAAAAGAAAACTTTATGGGCAGAACGTGATCATGAGTTTAAACTAACAGCCCATCAAATTAAATTACTTCGAGTGTTTTGAAGATTTGCCAAACAATCGCTCCTACTCCCTGATGGAGCCGTGTGAACTTTATTTATGATTTTTTAGAAAAAAAGGTTAAAACATATTGTTATTTTTATTTATTATTCAACAAAGGTTAAGAAGCCACCCGAAGCCATCACTTACACCTACAAAATTCGATAATACGGAATGCTCTCACTCCCCATATCTAAAACCGGTGTCGTCACCGATCCATCCACATAACGTATCATAACCAGCAGCCGGTGTAACAGACCTAGAGCGTACACCACATGCACATATTTTAGACGCAGTCATCATCATCGGACCGTTGACCCATCTTTAGGAGAGAGATCCGCATCATCCTTACCAGTCCGTCCATCCGTCAACGCCACCACGGCACCCAACGGTGCCACCGCCCCGCGCTCGTCCATCCAGACGCGAAAATTTTGGAAGATTTGTCGTGCGTAGCACCTACCGGCCCGGCATGACACAACGTAGCACCTGTCAGCCAGACATGACTTGACATCTCCACCAAAGCTCCATGCAAGATGAAGACACTCCACCTTCTGCCTCTGTCTTCCAGTGTTGCTCCATAAACGATGCTCCCAAGAGAGAAACGACACCGCAGTACCGCCATCGTTCGATCTGGAAGACTAGATCCTAGGGTTTCCCACAGAGCGGCACGAGTGGGTCGACAGTAGTTACATGACGATGCCTTCATCAAGGTAACGACGTAGAACGTCGCCATCGGCTCGATTTTCATGGAAACTATGTTTTCCCGACTCACAGCCGGGACTAGATAATGGATCTCGAGATCTGATCATTCAGCCTCAGGCCGACAACCTCCAACGGAGGAGATGACCACCACCGTCGGCTGCACCAGTAAGATTAGATCTGACCGGAGGCGCCGCCGACCAGTCCACCAAGCCCTCCAAGCCACCGTCGACCGTAGACACTGCCCTTCCCGGTACAGGGCCATGTCGCGCAAGCTGCCGCCGCCGTCCGAGGTAGGGCCGGCCACCACGTCGTCGCCTGCCATAGCCATCGACGTCGCACCACAAATTGGATCGGCCGCGCCACCACACGTTTAGGGGCCCCACACCATCCCTAAGATGTGGGAGAGAGGGAGTCCTCCGCCACTGCCATCGGCTTCCGGGCTTAGCCCGGTGGCATCCTCCGGCGGCGGCAGAGGGAAGGGAAGTGGGGGATCGTGCCCTCGGCGGCTAGGGTTTGTGCGTCGCCCGAGTCGCCCTAGCGGGGACAACACGGGGGCGTGAGGGCTTCTATGTGACACATGAACTTTATTTATGTGCCACAGGAAGAGCCCCTGTCGTGGCATGCAAGTACATGCCGATCGCTTAGATGCAGCGTGTACAGGTGAGAGAAAGGGATAAGTGCGAGAGGGAATAGAGATAAGTGTAGTTGAGATTACGATATGGAATTAAACCATATTATCTAACACCCTCTCTTAATTTAAGTTGTCCTAAATTTAAATTCCTCTTGAATTCCTCGAATGGCCTTACTGTAAGGGCTTTTTGAACCCGTTTGCCAATTGGTCTTGGATGAAATGAATCATATCTCCAACTTCTTTTTTGCAACTCTTTCTCGTAGAAAGTGAAAATTAATCTTGACGCGTTTGGTCATATCATGAAAGATAGCAGACAAATAAGTTGCTCCTTAATTATCACACCATAAATAGGACACACGATGTTGTTTAATCCCAAATTGTGCAAGCAAGGATTCCATCCAAATGATCTCAGTAGTTACATCTACCAAAGATTTGTATCCAACCTCTGTGCTTGACTTGATATCGTAGTCCGCTTTCTGACACTAAGAAGTAAGATTAGAGCCAAAAAATACTGAAAGTGCTCCTATTGATTTTCTATCATTACTACAGCCAACCCAATCAGCATCAGAGAAGGCACTAACAAGTGTAGAGTTAGAGCACCTGATCTGAAGCCCAAT